GACTAAATGTACTGAACTTTTTATTATTATAATGATATTGTGTTATACAAGGAGTTTTAGACACGTCTCGTGAATGTTAGTTTTACTCTAGCATATTAAATAATGGTTGGACATGACTTGAATGGGTAATATGGGTAATAACTTTAATATAAGTTTAACATAACAGCAAATGTACAATGTTTCGACAGATTACCTGATGATGACAAAACATTGTCGAAACGTTGTACATTTGCTGTTATGTTAAACTTGTGTTACGACAGCGGTAATCAACGTGACCCTGGTAACACGTCATGATATTCTAGAAGATTCACGAAGAAACGAGATGTACGCTTCTTGTATATAAGACCGCCAAGAACTGACGGCATCAATGCGTAATTGACAGTTGAGTCGAGCACCTGAGACGTTCGTTGTGAATTATTGCGTCTGTTATAGCGCAACTGTGGAAATTAAGTGTAGTGCAAAGTTGTATTTAGAAAGAATAAACCAGTTTTATTTAAGAAAGGACTTGTATCGCTAAAGTTTCTTCAGAAAGAAATTATACCGAAAATTAACAAACGAACACAGATGCGTGACACTTATATTAAAGATTTTCTTCATTACCCATTCAAGCCATCTCCAACCATTATTAGTCTCAAAGTGGGTTCCTCGTCATCGAATTTAACATATTAAGTGTTATGTCTATGTCAATCGTTAGGCGTATCACTTCTACCGAACTTTTTCTTGCCCTGTAACTTTACTAATTTTTTCTATTATCTGTTTGCTGTTTCCGCTCGTCTCACGCTATTTATATCTTTATCACTTAATCGTCTGGCTGCCTACTATATTCTCGACGTCAATTGTATTGCACACGACATTCGATAATCTCAACATCATTGACTTATAAACACAACTTCTTACAATCGTATGTTTTTAATTTTCATTATAACAAAAACTAAACTCTAATAAAATATTTACTCCCAAAAACAAATTAATCAACAATATCTAAACAAAAAAGTCTTTTATATCATGAAAAATATATGCAACTTCCAAATGTAGGTCAAACCAAAACAACTATACAGGAACGTTTTAATAACCACAAATCAACAATAAAAGAACTTCCGGTCGCAAAACACTTTAACAAGACATTAAACTGACGGGTATAATGACAAATTTTACATGTAACAGAAACAGGGAAATTAAAGAAGCTTACTGGATAGCATTATTAAATACTGTAACGCTAAATAGCATCAATCTCGTTCCCGGGATTGTTGACCTTCTCATGTTTCTGAAAAGATTTTCAAAACTAAATTCGTTATTAAACTTACTTTACATTATTAGTATTATTCATGTTTTAATTTCTGTATATTGTTATTTCCTATATATTGCGTTACATTATCATTTTCTCTATTTCCCACCACCTTTTGCCGTTATTTTTATTTTACCTTTATAAACATCGGTTATCATTTGTTATAACTATTATCACACTTAAGTCTTTTATGTACCTGTACACACCTCTTTGGCACAAACTAAACCTGACACCAACAATTCTAGGTTATGATTGGCTAGTTCTCAAGTCTAACTCATATGTAACATCCGGTTTACGTGATATCTACATCCGTGCCCATATATTTCATGACACTCATCAAACATAACCCTTTATTATCATGAAGAAGAATACTGAACTATTCGAAAAGGCTCAAGGTTTGGGTCTCATTTGAAAACCATTACAACTTTTGTTTGTAATCCTGTGTGCTAACTTTTTAATCTCGTCATTTAAAGTTATCAATTTTTAAATAACTTAGAACCAATTGTAGTAATGTCGTGACATGCAACGTTTATAATATTTTCTGAAATTTTCTTTTCAAAAATCTTTTTGAGACTATCAGTATACGAATTTTTCAGGTATCTTTGTTTTTCAGCATATAATATTTCATCTGTTTTTCGCTTGTTTTTCTAGAAGGCGGTGATGGGTAAGGAGTCTTGTAATAATTTTGCTATTCCTCTTGCCAACGGAAGTATTTTAAAAGTCCCTCTGGTCAAATTTAAAGAAGACACTGAATTGTGCAATCCTGATAAACCAACCATCAAGATTTCTGAACAGTTACCGAAGACGGGGCTTTGGCAGAGCATTCAGCAGAAAAAAGAAAGTAGGACAACTTGTATGGAGCCACTGGAAAGTACAAGGTATTATTTTGTAGTTGAAAGTATTTGTGTACTGTAACACTCCGCATTCAATTATGTTGCATAGCAACACTTGTTTTCTTCATTGAGCTGTTCTTTGAAAACACATACTGTATCTGAATACACATACTACATTTCAAAACACAATATATCTGAAAAGACATACTACATCTCAATACACATGCTATATCTGCCGTTTTTATACGTTTTGAGAAAAAAAAGAAATAAAATTTATCTAGACCTAATAGTGATTAAATATCCTATCAAATAATAAGTAACGACTGTTGTTAACTAGCTGCCTTATCTGTAGTCTATCAGTTTAAAACCAAGAGTTAGTAATAAGTGTTGTTAACTAGCTGCCTTATCTGTAGTCTATCAGTTTAAAACCAAGAGTTAGTAATAAGTGTTGTTAACTAGCTGCCTTATCTGTAGTCTATCAGTTTAAAACCAAGAGTTGGTAATAAGTATTGTTAACTAGCTGCCTTATGTATAGTCTATCAGTTTAAAACAAAGATTTGGTAATAAGTATTGTTAACTAGCTACTTTATCTGTAGTCTATCAGTTTAAAACAAAGATTTGGTAATAAGTATTGTTAACTAGCTACTTTATCTGTAGTCTATCAGTTTAAAACAAAGATTTGGTAATAAGTGTTGTTAACTAGCTACTTTATCTGTAGTCTATCAGTTTAAAACCAAGATTTGGTAATAAGTGTTGTTAACTAACTACTTTATTTGTAGTCTATCAGTTTAAAACAAAGATTTGGTAATAAGTGTTGTTAACTAGCTGCCTTATCTGTAGTCTATCAGTTTAAAACCAAGAGTTGGTAATGAGTGTTGTTAACTAGCTGCCTTATCTGTATTCTATCAGTTTAAAACAAAGATTTGGTAATAAGTGTTGTTAACTAGCTGCCTTATCTGTAGTCTATCAGTTTAAAACAAAGATTTGGTAATAAGTATTGTTAACTAGCTGCCTTATCTGTAGTCTATCAGTTTAAAACAAAGATTTGGTAATAAGTGTTGTTAACTAGCTACTTTATCTGTAGTCTATTAGTTTAAAACAAAGATTTGGTAATAAGTGTTGTTAACTAGCTGCCTTATCTGTAGTCTATCAGTTTAAAACCAAGAGTTGATAATAAGTATTGTTAACTAGCTACTTTATCTGTAGTCTATCAGTTTAAAACACAGATTTGGTAATAAGTGTTGTTAACTAGCTGCCTTATCTGTAGTCTATCAGTTTAAAACCAAGAGTTGGTAATAGGTGTTGTTAACTAGCTACTTTATCTGTAGTCTATCAGTTTAAAACACAGATTTGGTAATAAGTGTTGTTAACTAGCTACTTTATCTGTAGTCTATCAGTTTAAAACACAGATTTGGTAATAAGTTTTGTTAACTAGCTACTTTTTCTGTAGTCTATCAGTTTAAAACAAAGATTTGGTAATAAGTGTTGTTAACTAGCTACTTTATCTGTAGTCTATCAGTTTAAAACCAAGAGTTGGTAATAAGTATTGTTAACTAGCTACTTTATCTGTAGTCTATCAGTTTAAAACAGATTTGGTAATAAGTGTTGTTAACTAGCTACTTTATCTATAGTCTATCAGTTTAAAACCAAGATTTGGTAATAAGTGTTGTTAACTAGCTACTTTATCTGTAGTCTATCAGTTTAAAACAAAGATTTGGTAATAAGTGTTGTTAACTAGCTACTTTATCTGTAGTCTATCAGTTTAAAACAAAGATTTGGTAATAAGTGTTGTTAACTAGCAACTTTATTTGTAGGCTATTAGTTTAAAATTAGAATAGCTGTGTGTAAATTGCATTTTGTGCAGCTTTGGAGAAAATTTTAAAACTAACTAACCAACCATACTTCTAAATCTCTTTAGTTTGAAATTGTATGTGTATAATTATAAAAAACTGGATAGTCTGAATATTGAAATTATTAATTATAATCGTTAAAGATGGTGTATGGCAAACGGATCGCGCATTTTTAATTCCAGAAAGTAAAATATTTTTATTATAAAAACAAAATATTAACCCATTAAATAATTTAATACTTTTATTTACAGTGTTAAATGTACCTAAAACATCTTTAAATACTAAAGAAGATGTATACTCGACATATAAAGCTTCACGTGAATGATAAAAAACTTTCACCATGACAACACATTGTTTCTCGCATCTTTCATTCTGCTATGTTTTCAAGAGCACGTGTTTATATCCTTCATTCGATGTACTAAGTATACTAGAACTTTCGATATCGTTCAGTATATATTCATAGTCACACATTGAAACTGAATCTATATTATTTTCTTGATAGTTCGAAAACGAGAGGTACGGTGAAGGATGCTTTAAATGATGATGAACGGAAACGTTTGCCAACAATGGAAGAGGAAGAAGAAAACAATGAAGTAGAGGACAGCAGGATAACAATCAAAATTGAAAAATACGGAAAACCTTCAGTCCACAATAGTTTAGACTAAAAACATTTCGATTATTTTTGAATTTATAAGAGAAATGAATGATTTGAAGTATTAGGAACTAGCACGAGCGTATGTAGTCTTTGATTTGGACACGCTGCTTCAAAAGTAGCACAAATGTTGATGTTATGCACGAATGAAAATAATACATTATTCTGCATATCTCATGGCATTCCATGCTTGTTACTAATATAAGCTGATGGAATATTTTTGTAACCAAGATGTAACTTCGAGAATTATATATTTTGTTTTACAGACTGTGGCTCTCTTAATTTTTGCTATTATAAGTATTTACCCTACACTGTTACGTATAGTAATTACCCTACACTGTTACGTATAGTATCTACCCTACATTGTTAAATATATATAGGCACTTTGTGAGAACGTATAGTATTTACCCTACAATGTTACGTATAGTATCTACCCTACATTGTTACATATAGTAATTACCCTACATTGTTACATTTATATATAGGCATTTTGTGAGAACGTATAGTATTTACCCTACACTGTTACGTATAGTATCTACCCTACATTGTTACATATATATAGGCATTTTGTGAGAACGTATAGTATTTACCCTACAATGTTACGTATGGTATCTACCCTACATTGTTACGTATAGTATCTACCCTACATTGTTAAATATATATAGGCACTTTGTGAGAACGTATAGTATTTACCCTACACTGTTACGTATAGTATCTACCCTACATTGTTACATATATATAGGCATTTTGTGAGAACGTATAGTATTTACCCTACAATGTTACGTATAGTATTTACCCTACAATGTTACGTATAGTATCTACCCTACATTGTTACATATAGTAATTACCCTATGCTGTTACATATAATATTTACCCTATGCTGTTACATATAATATTTACCCTACACTGTTACGTATAGTATTTACCCTACAATGTTACGTATAGTATCTACCCTACATTGTTACATATAGTATCTACCCTACATTGTTACGTATATATTGGCATTTTGTGAGAACGTATAGTATTTACCCTACAATGTTACGTATAGTACCTACTCTACATCAAAAATTATTGAATTAATTTTTATTATTGTAAGGAATTTTCAAAGCTTAGAAAAAGCCACATTTCCTTCATTTTTACTACGTTTATCTTATATATCCCATTGTTCTATGCGGTCATATCTTTGTTCCAGTGATACGTGCATGACTTAGTTTTTTTCATTACAGATTGTAGTTACATAATAAATTAAAGTTCCAAATTATAAACTAGTAAGTTCGCAGATGTAGCATATGTTACATATAGTAATTACCCTATACTGTTACATATAATATTTACCCTACACTGTTACGTATAGTCTTTACCCTACATTGTTACATATATATAGGCACTTTGTGAGAACGTATAGTATTTACCCTACAATGTTACATATAGTACCTACCCTACATTGTTACATATAGTAATTACCCTATACTGTTACATATAATATTTACCCTACACTGTTACGTATAGTATTTACCCTACATTGTTACGTATATATTGGCACTTTGTGAGAACGTATAGTATTTACCCTACAATGTTACATATAGTACCTACCCTACATTGTTACATATAGTAATTACCCTATACTGTTACATATAATATTTACCCTACACTGTTACGTATAGTTATTTACCCTACATTGTTACATATATATAGGCACTTTGTGAGAACGTATAGTATTTACCCTACATTGTTACGTATATAAGCATTTTGTCATAACTAATGTTACTCACTTGTTTTTCAGATCATTTGTTATTTTAAAAAGCTCTTAACAAAATGTTCCATTGTTGTCACACGTTATAATTTTACTATTTTAAGAGTATAGTTCTCAGTGTGCACTGAATTTTAAGCAGAAATAGACACACACTATGAAAACATACAAAAGCTTTTGAATCGCTAAAATTGTTTATTACCAGTTCATTAATTCAGTCTAAATCGATGTTCATTCAGCACGTTATGTTTTCTTTGGGCTTTATTAAAGCTAATAATTACAATCTATAAATAGGATCTCGTACTAAAACAATGGGTAACTTACTAATTGCTACCACAGGTTTCACGATAGTTTCATATCAGATGAAATTAAAGGGTTCAATGTATTTTTAGGTTACAAAAGGTAAACCTGAGTGCCTACTGATGTATATATATAGGAAGAGAGAGAGGGGAAATGCAAAGGGTTAAATCTCTTAAATTTCATAAGCAAAATGTTTGGTAAGCTTACATGCGTTTTACCAGCATACATCTGCGAACTTACTAGTTTATAATTTGGAACTTTAATTTATTATGTAACTACAATCTGTAATGAAAAAAACTAAGTCATGCACGTATCACTGGAACAAAGATATGACCGCATAGAACAATGGGATATATAAGATAAACGTAGTAAAAATGAAGGAAATGTGGCTTTTTCTAAGCTTTGAAAATTCCTTACAATAATAAAAATTAATTCAATAATTTTTGATGATCTAGTACGGACGTCCACGTATTGAATCCTATGTTATTTCAAAAGAGAATAGTTACGCATACTTTATAAAATGGGATCACACTTGTTCTACCAATCATGAATTCACATTGACGTTAAACACAAAGAACACAATTCGCCACTGTAGAATGGTACTTTCGTTTTTCAGCATTTGAAGGCGCTGGAACTAACTGTTAATTTTACACAATGTAGCTAAAAAAAGAGAATAATAACCAAACATGTAAAATATTTGTGCATGAGTATCGATAGACATTCTCTGTTTACTCTCAAGACAAAGCAAGAATATGGACCGTAAATAATATACATCTATATTCACTTATGGTATTCAGGTCCACTTGCAAAAACTTTTGTATTGCTCATCCACTTGGATATTATCCTCATCATCGGGAAGAAATGATGGAGATGTATGGCAAAGAAAGTGTAAGTTCAATGAAATGGTCACATTAGCATGGAATCCTAGCCAGGGGCGAGGATTAATGCAAGTTTGTGATTATTTTTAACCCTGTTCAAAAAACGTCAGCTAGGTACGAATGTGGCTGTTTTCTAATTGGTAAATACGGTAAAAATCATGCTGTGTTCTAATTGGTAAATACATACGGTAAGAATGTGGCTGTTTTCTAATTGGTAAACACTTACGGTAAGAATGTGGCTGTTTTGTAATTGGTAAATACTCACGGTGAAGATGTGGCTGTTTTCTAATTGGTAATTCTAATTCCGAAAAACTTCAGCAATACAAGTCCTTTCTTAAATAAAACAAGTTTATTCTTTCTCAATACAACTTTGCAATAAACTTAATTTCTACAATCAGTTTAACTTAAACACACGCTATAATTCACAACGAACGATTCACGCACTTTACCGCGCTTGACTCATTGTCCGTCTCTATATCTGTATGTCTGCGATTCTATCCCCGATTCATTGTCTGGCGCACTTATATACAAGAATAGAGGGCACCTAGCAAATACTGGATTATTCGTGATGTTCCCCGATCTTTCTAGAACTCATTATGTGTTACCAGCGTCACGTGACTTCCGCTGTCGTAACACTGCCCCTTCCCTAGTATTGTTCGTCCCGAACAATAGCCATTTACATTAAACCAATAGAAAATTAACAATAACTTAATTAAAGAGACAGAATTTACAAACACAAAATTAAAATTCAACAAAGTCTCTTAATTTTACGGGACGTGTCTTCTTCCGTACTTGTCTCCATCTCGTTGGCTTCTGCTTCACATGGGGTTCATCTGCTCCATCAAGAAATGTCCTATTATCGGTAATAGTCACATCAGTGGTAGTAACTTCATCAAGGGCTTCACTGTTTCCCTTCTCAAAACCGAGTAGAGTTTCTTCTTTGACAGTGGTCCTTTCCAGGTGACATGTCTTCAGTGGCGTCTTTT